ATGATCCTTTTTCTTAAGTTTACCTTATTTTTTTTATTTATTATTAGTAATCACAATTTTCTTTCATCCCATATAATCTTAATACTTTTCTTTAACTATTTTTTCCTTTTTTTATCTAATAGATGAAGGATTTGCTTTTAATAATTCTAGAAGATTAATATTTTAAAAGAGTTTTCATATTTTAATACATTTATTACCTATGGTTAACTAATAAACAACAAATAATTTATTTTAGTTTTAAATAATATGATCATATCTTTATAATATAATTTGATCAAACACATTAATATTAATAAAATGTAATTTATATTTATTAAAGAAAGAAACTTCAATAATTATTATAAAATTTTTAATTGTTTTAAGTATAAAATTTTTATTAATGAGAAGAATGAAAATTCTAATAAAATGATGATGTGAAGAACTGATCTATTTCAATAATAAGTAACTAATAATGATAGATATTTTAAACTACAAATAGATTTTATTTATAATACAAAATATATTCTAAGATATTTGATATATTTAAATTATTGATAAGAAACGAATTATTCCAAGATTATTGTAATGCTTCCACTCAACCTTAATATATGAATCAAAAAAGAAGAAAAATTAGGGTTAAATTGTCATAAAAAAAAAAATGATTAAACACATTCACATACCTTGCAGCATAACTTGAATGTTCAGAATTCACCACCAAGTCGTTTTTACCATCACCATTAAAATCAAATTTTATCATTTTATTTCCAAACCTGGCTTGACGTTCTCTTCCAACCAAACATACTTCTGAAACCAAAGAAGATCCTATTGAATATTTAAATATTTGTCCAGATTCTAAAAGAATAAAAAAAAAATTTTTTTTAATTATGTATTTTTTTTTTATTTAAAATATGATTCTATACACTTTAATAATTTTACTCACCCCAATAAGTAAATGGTTCAGAAGCCCATAATGATTTCTCATTACTATCCCATAATAATGAACTTCCAAGACGTGAAGCACTTTCTGATCCACGTAATAATGCCAGTAATTCTCTTCCTAAGCTCATATCAATTAAACTTAAAATAACAGTAAAAGAATTAGAATTTGAAGGTGAGAAGATATTGATATACAACAATATC